CCTGGTGGGGCACCTCGTCCTGCTCCTCGCTGCTGGCAAAGGGGTCCTGCGCCTTGCACTCCCAGGCATCCGACATTGGGGAGCGGCTCAGCGCTTTTAAGCTTGGCGGCTGCAGAGAGAACAGAAAGGCGGCGTGTGAAGCAAATGCCACGTATAGAAATAGGCGCTCTAGGGGGAACTGCAGCCCCAGCGAGGCTCTAATCACCCGGGTGCAGCACGAACAACGTCCCTCCATATACGGGGGACTATGGCTAATGGCCACCACATGCAAAGCAGCTCAAAGGGGCAGACGCCCTGCCCTGCCCGACGGAGGCTGACAGGTTAGAGAGACCCTTCGGTTCCCCACGAGCCCACGTAGGTCCAGAGCCGAGGCAGCTGGCCCCTCTGCTGTGCCCCCAAGCACAGCCCTGCCTTTGATCGCACACTCCACACCCCGCTCTGCCGAGACCCAGAGCAACCCACGCGCCCAGGCCACCTCCTGCCCGTTGCCCACAGCCAGGGATTGTCCCAGCAGAGCAGGGAGAGGGAATTAAGGATGCCTTGCAGCCTCCGGCAACAAGAAGCAGGCCCCCAGCTCCGTTTGGGGCAGAGCTCAGAGCGGAAGAGGGGGGTTAGACCGGCACCTCTCCTGGGAGCTGCTGGGCGCCGGGACTCCCTCCAGCCCAGGAGAGCAGAGCTGTTCTTCCTGCTCCGGCTCTTCCTTCACTTCCTGCAAACTTCCCAGCACTGAACACTGGAAGGAATTCAGCTGCCTCCCCGGCGCACTCCGCCGCAGCAGGCCCAACAGAAAACAGCATGAAAAGGCCCAGCTCTGCCCGAGCAGCAGTGTCTGCGATAAGGAGCCCAGGCTCTTGAGCAGCGACCGCAGCTCCTTGGAGCAGCCCGGTCTGGCGGGGCAAAGCCCGAGGAAGGGAGCTGTGCATGATGATTCGTAACGGGGACCAGAAACATCCCTTGCAGCAGCTGCCAGAGGGGGAGAGAGCAAGGGATGCAGAAAGGGCTGGGCAGAAGCGTAGCTGTGTGAAGCAAGGACGGGGAAAGTAACATGTTGGGCTCTGCTTCAGCTGCTCT